AGAAATATACACGTAACACCGTCCAGGGAAGCTGGTAAGTTTTCCCATCATAGACATTAGAACTATTGTTTGTTCCTTTCCCTTCTAGCTGCCCTTTTTTTTTTCTGCTGCCCATAACGTTTTGACCATACTTTTCAGCTGCACTACAAAGGGCATTTTTCCCCTTCCTGGTCATTGCATTTTATTCTAATTTATACTTCTCTTGGTACTGAAAGTTTGTATTTTGCTATCTTTTTGCATATAACTTCTTATGAAGCCCTGCAAATCCTTTGCGGAATGAGTCAAGATATGTTTGAAACCTACTGACCCAACGTTTGCCTCATGTTTGATTTGCATACCTTGTTGCTGTTGAGACTTCAGTTAGTGGTCTTAAACTTGGCTGCACACTGGCATTACCCAGGTGCAATGCGATGGATTGCTTTTATATGGCCTTTCTAGCCACGGTCTTGTAACTCCCACCAAATGACTGGGTGGGACTATGCAAATAAGGTGCACAGTACCCTTGTGGGGTGAAATAAGGTGTATGAAACCCTAACGAGGGGACTAGTTAATTTTGCAGTCTGCTAGGCTTAAAAGAGAGTTAATCCTAGGGCAGAGGGGGGATATCTCACTACCACCAAGAAGAGACGGGAGTGGAGCGCATCCTTTGAACCCAGGGTCCTGTGCTGAGAACCTATTAGATCCAGGAGACAGAGAGCTGTAACATCAGAGACAGCGCAAGATGACAAGAAGCGGCGGCAAGCACAGCAGAGAATTGGCAGTAGTAGAATCAGGAGGCTGGCAGGAGATGGCACAGTGGGCTTCCTGGCCCATGGAATGAGAGTGCTGAGCACCTTTGCAAGGAGGCTTACTGGAGGAAGTAGGGTGCCTCTAGGCACTTGACGGAGCTAGGCTTGCTGACCCACGGAGCTAGAGAGCGTAGCGCCTTCCGGCCAGTGCTTACTGGCAGAGTGGGGTACACCCGGGCACTTACTGGCAGAGCTAAAGAGCTTTGTAACACTTGCCCAAGCAGGGCAGAGGCCATGCTGAGAGGCTGAGGGCCAGAGAGAGGCCTGCCTGCAGGCACAGCTGAGGAGTTGTTCTGACCAAAGAATTATATCCTGAGTTGTTCCCGATCCTGAATTGTAACCTGTTACTTCTCTATTAAAACCCATAATCGTTGAGTATGGTCTGGGGGTTCTGTGTGGCCACGGCAATGAAACATTGGACCCAGAAGAGAAGAAGAGAAGTAGAGAGTGCTGTGGGAGGGACGGCTGGTATCAGAATTAGTAAAAAGACTGGAGGGTGGAGATATGTTTGTCCTCCAACTCATAGGGCTCAGACTTGGGCTGATGCTGATGGTGATTCTCTCTCCCTCAAAAAGTTAGAGGACGACCTCTGACGCCCCACCACGCCATTTTTACACTGGGAACTTTAAATAATGCCCATGCCTGGGTCCTGTCCTCACAGATTCTAATTTCAGTGATCTAGGATGTGCCCTGGGTATCTGGGTCTTTCTGATGTGCAGCCAGGGTTGAGAACCACTGACATAGGACACTGCTTTTTAT